TTTAATCTCTCCCTACAGTTTTTTTAGAATCACCTTATCATATTCAGCTCAGCCAACCCCTTTATTTCAAACTACCCAAATAATGATGACAGTCATAAGAGTACTGATAGTATTTTTACATATAAGTAAGCAATTTCACCTTATTGAGTGCCTTATAATTGGTCTTTAATGTTTACCTTATATTTTTCCTGTTTGTTATATGTTGAACTTTCCCTTAAGTTTTGGGATTTTTTTTCTTACAAAAACCTGAAAGTATTTCAGTTTGCTAAATATCCATTTTTTTCCCCATTCAGGATTATACTTAACTTTGCTGGGTAAGTTACCCTTGGTTGTAACCCCAGCTCTTTTGTTCTACAGAATATGGTATTCCAAGACTTACAGTCCTTCAATGTAGTAGCTGCTAGGTCTTGCATAATCCTTATTTAATTTTTTTCCCTTGTTGTTTCCTATACTTTCTCCTTAACCTGGGAGCTTTGGAACTTGGCTATGATATTCCTCTAAGTTTTCCTCCTGGGATCTCTTTCAGGTGGTGATTAGTAGATTTTTTTCTATTTCTACTTTGCCTTCCTGTTCTAGAACTTCAGAGCAATTTTCCTTGATAATTTTGTTTAATATTGTATCAAGATTCTTTTTTATCATAATTTTAAGGTAGTCTGACTATTCTTATATTATTTCTCCTTGATTTGTTCTCCAGATTGGTTGTTTTTCTGATGAGATGTTTCACTTTCTCTTCTATTTTTTTATTCTTTTGATTTTGTTTTATGATTTCTTGGTGTCTTAGAACATCATCTGCCTCCTCTTGTCCAATTCTTGTTTTTAAGGAATTATTTTCTTCCTTAAGTTTCTATTTCCAGTTGGTTGACTTTTTTTCATAATTTTCTTGATTTTCTTGGATTGATCTTTTTTTTTCTTCTAATTTTTCCTTGATTTCTCTTATTTGATTTTTAAAGTCCTTTTTAGGTTCTTCCAAGAACTCTTTTTGTTCTTGGGACCATTTGACATTTCTCATTGAAAAAAGAGTGGCTTTTTTTTAGCCCCATTATCTTCTTCTTGATATCAACCCAAATCTTATCTCCATGGTAATTATCTGTGGTTGAGTTCTTTCTACTTTGCTTACTCCTGAGGTATGGGGAATGATGCCCAAGCCTTAGGTCCTCTTACTGTTATTTTCTGAGGTCTGTCTCAGTCTGTCCCAACCTTGGTCTCTCCTCTTCACTCCTAAGCCACAGATAGGGCCCCCAGCCATACTATCCTGCAAATGACCTTGCTCCCTGATGGTAGCTGCAAACTACAACTATCCTCTTTGCCCCAGAACTGAAACCAAGGACTCTGCTCTCCTGCAAGTGCCCACAGCCAACAGGTACCGGTTTCTCTGTTAATGCATTCACTAGGTGTTTGCTAACTCCTCCCTGCAGCCACAGCCTGGGTCTCATCTAGTCAGCACAACTGTGCTTGGCATCCCACTACAGTGGAAGATCCTTCAATCTTTGCCTGCTCTGCCTTCAGCACCCCCTTCCTCCCCCAAAACACACACACACACACACACACACACACACACACACACACTGTCTTCTGAGATGAAACTTTCTAAGGGTGAGGCTTCCTCTCAACCCAGCTGTCCCCAGGGTTTTGATTCTGCAGAGTTGGCCTGGAGGAGTTTGCACTTTACTCAGGCCTAGAGGTCTTCTCAAATTGTCTTAGGAGGACAACTGCTTCACCTCGTGTTTGTTTTTGCTGCTCTAAGGTGATGTTCTGGGTTTGTTTTTTTTTGAGATTTGGAGAGCCAAAAGTTTTCTGACCTTCTCCACCATCTTCCCAGAATCCTCTCCTAGCATTTTCTTTTTAAAAATCTTTCTAGTCCTTTCATTTTATTTTTATATAATAAATATATATTATTTTATTGTTTCAGGTAACAAATATTTTTAAAATTAATCTGTCCCTCTCCTTACTTTCTCCTCCATTCATCAAATTAAAAATAAATCACTCATATTTTTACATAGTCTGGCTAAACAAGTTACCAATTAACCAGTCCAAAAAATGTATGGTTCCACATTTTAAGTTCATAACCTTTCTGCCAGGAGGTGAGTTATATTTCATCTTCATTCTTTTGGACTAATGGTATTGCATTGATTAGAGTTCTACAGTCTTTCAAAGTTGTTTTTCCTCATAATATTATCATTGTATAAACTCTTCTCATTCTACGCTCCTGCTCATCATTTCTTATAGTACAATTGTCTCCATCACATTCATATACCACAACTTGTTCAATTGATGGGCATCCTCTCAATTTCCAACTCCTTGCCAACACAAAAAGAGCTGTTATAAATATTGTTGTACAAATAGATCCTTTTCCTTTTATAAAAATCTCTTCATAACCCAATACTTGTTGAAAACAACTAGAAATTATGCTAAGAAAGTGGCTAAAATGTCACATCATTTGACCTGGAGATTTCACTGTTAGGCATATACTCCAATAAGATCAAAATTACTGAATATTCTCTGTGTGTGCCAAAATATTTAAAGTAGCACTTTTTGCAGTAACAAAGAACTAGAACAAAATATATACCCATCAACTGGGGAATTGGAAGTAGCTAAACAAATTATAGTATATAGGATCATAGGATCTTAGGAAGAGACCTTAGAAGCCATCTAATCCAACCCTTTCCTTTTACAGATAAGGAAACTGAGGCTAAGCAAAGTTAAATGACTTACTAAAGGTACAATTTGAGCCCAGGTTCTCTGATTCCCGGGAAGCGATGGAATATCACTTCACTATAAGAAATGAATATGACAAATACAGAGAAACATGAACTGATGCAAAGGAGAGCAGAATTAGAAAAACAATATGTAAAATGACTATGACCTTGTAAATGGAAAAAAAATTAAACTAAATATTGTAGAAACATAATGATCAAGCTTGGCTTTGTAGAAAAAAATGAGAAAAAGTACTATTCTTTGCAATGGTAGGAGGCGATGAATGTAGAATGTTGCACATCCTTGATTTCGGTATTGGTCAGTTTTGCTGAACTTATTTTCTTTTCCTCTTTCATTCTTTGTCACAAGGTTGGCTCTCTGAGTTGGGTTGGGGAAGGGAGATCCTTGGAAATGAGGGAGATAAAATATAAGGAAATGAAATCTTTAAAAAATTAAATGCTAAAGGCAAACTTCAGAAAAACTTGGAGAGAATTACATGAATTGACGCTGAGTGAAGTGAGCAGAACCAGAACATTGTACACAGTTAACAGCAACATTGTGTAATGACCAACTTTGATAGGCTTAGCTCTTCTCAGCAATTCAAGAATCTAAAACAACTCCAAAAGACTCATGGTGGAAAATGCTATCCACATCCAGAGAAAGAACTACGGAGTCTGAATGCAGATCAAAGCATGTTTTCACTCTCTCTCTCTCTCTCTCTCTCTCTCTCTCTCTGTTTATTTTTTCTCATGGTTTTTCTCTTTGGTACTAATTCTTCTTTACAACATGACTAATGTGGAAATATGTTTAATATGACTGTACATGTATGGCCTATATCACATTGCACGCCATCTTGGGGAGGAGGGAGCAGAGGAAGGGGGAGAAAATTAGAACTCAAAATCTTACAGAAGTGAATGCTGAAAACTTAAAACAAATTAAAAAAATAAAAATAAGTTAAATGCTCAGTCTAAAGTTTATTTACAAATGGTATAACACCTGTTACTTTAGGTATCAGCAGTGATCACAGATTTAAAGCTAGAAGGGACCTTATAGATAATATAATCCAACATCCTTTTACAGATGAAGAAATTGAAGCTTAAAGACATGAAAGGACAGCTCTAAAGTCACTATGTGGCCTAGCTGGTATTTGAACCCAGATTCTCTGACTCCAAAGCTAGTGCTGTACCCATTGCACCACATTGTCTCACTTCATGGAAATTTATGTTATTGGCACATCGATATTTACCTACAGAAATCAAAGCTTTAACTAGGTGGTGCAGTAGATAGAATGCTGGACCTGGAGTCAGGAAGACCCGAGTTCATATCCAGCTTCAGATACTTGATAGTTGAGTGACTCTGGGTAACTCAACCTTTCAACCTCAGTTTCCTCATTACCTAGTAGGTACTTAATAAATGCTTATTGACTGACATATATAAAATAAGCATAATAATAGCACCTACCTCCCAGGGTTATTATGAGGAAAAAATGAGATAATATTTTTAGAGTCCTTTGCAAAACTTAATGTGCTATATAAATGCTATTATTATTTTTGTTGGTAGTGGGCAGCTAGGTGGTGCAATGGATAAAGTACCCGGCCTGGAGTCAGGAAGGCCTGAGTTCAAATCCAACCTCAGATACTTACTAGCTATGTGACCTTGAGCAAGTCGCTTAACTCTGCCTCAGTTTCCTTATCTGTAAAATGAGCTGGAGAAGGAAATGGCAAACCACTCCAGTATCTCCACCAAGAAAATCCCAATGGAGTCACAAAGGGTCAGGCATGATTGAAACAGCTGAATATCAATTGCAAGGAGGTTGTTGTTATTATGTTGATTTGATTTCCAGCCAAGGAAGCACTTCTCATCATTTGATTTACCACAATTTATAACCCACTTAATTGTTTACTTCTTCCACCAGCAGTGATACTATTATTTGTCAGGTATATATTTCAGGTATGTATTAACGACCGGACATTTGAAAAAAAAAAAGACAACAACAACCCAAAACAAAGCAAAACAAAAAACCAATGAAGCTATCAAATAGAAGCTGTTTCAGAAGCACAGGTTGCAGTAGTGAAAATGGGGAGAAGATTCTTCACCCTATATTTTCTGACCTTTCTTAGATTAAAAATCTCAATCTAAAGGTTGAAATGATATAGATTTCTTTAAAGTTTTATTACTCCATTTCACTAACAAAACTGAGAAAACTTCAAAGTAGGATTAAAAAGTAGCTGAGAGGAAAGAAGTTAGTCATGTGCTGAATCTGCTTTGCAGGTTGGAGCTTTTGAAAATGAGCATTAGCTTTGAGAAGCAGCTGAAACCACAGGAGAGAGTGCCATGCTATTTCTGTTTGTTTGTGCTGCCCCCAAAGCACCTGAGCTCTTCCTATTTCCCTCTTTGCTGCCTCTCTTTTCTCAGTTATCTGTACTTCTGAGCCTCAGCTGAGGCATGCAACCAGAGCCACCAGTGAAGAGCTCAGGGCACCCAGTGACTCACGCACCCTCCTGATAGGCGTCTGATATGAAGAGATCTCCAGTCATGTATAAAAATGAAGCATTCCTTCACGTCATCTTCATGGCCTCAGCTCTGGGTATCTTGTCCGTACAAGGTAAGGCAGTTCATTCTGATGTCTCTGTTTTTGTTTCTGCTTCCACATAAGTGTCATAGATGTGTTTGGGAAAATGTTTATTTCTGGCAGATACCAGATGATAATGTTGAGGACTGAGAACACAGTGAGTGCCAGTAAAAGAAAATGGAGCAGGCAGAGTTGCCTTAACAAATACGATGTAAGAAGGGAGCACAGTTAGGTAATAATATGACTAGATGAATTATACCCTCAAGGCCAGTCATTTTTAAGAGATGGGCTATTGGTAACAAGGACAGCAGGCAAGAGAATGTTCATGGCTCAATGTCACCACTGCCATAAAACAATCAAACTGAAATATTTTCCAACCATATTGTACCCCCCTGATGATGTTATAGTAGAAGAGACAAAAGCCAGTGGGTTGCTATTGAAACCAACTCTCTATAGCTTGTGTGCTTGATTATTAGACCATGAGTACTCTCGCATGTCTTGTCTCTTGACTAAAATCTGTTTCCTTGCTTGGGTGGTGTCTGTGTCTTGACAATGAATCAAATCAATCAACCAGTTAATCAGTCACTCAACAAATATTTACTAAGTGCCTACTATGTTCCAGGTACTGTGCTAAGTAGTCTCTGCCCTTGCCCTTCTACTGGGGGAGCCAGCATATACATAAATCAGTAGCTACAAGATAAGTACAGAGTGGATGGTAGGTACCTTGGAGGGGACTAGCAGCTGGAGGTAGAGAAAGAGAGGGAATCAGCAAAGGCCTCTTGAAGGATGGAGCCCTTGAGTTTGAATCTCAAAGGAAGCCAAGGATCCTAAGAGTCCGAGGTTAGAAGGAGAACATTCTAGGCATGGTGGACAGCTGTCACAGTGTACACGATGACTACAGCAACGAAAAGATCATTAAAACGGGCAACTGAAAATCCGATAATGGTGTAGGGAAACAGATAATGAAATGGTTTTCTAGAAGTGAGCTGGAGTCAGGTAGAGCTGATCATTAAATTTTTGTTGTGAGTGTTTACACTATCAGGAATGAGCAGATGCCATGAATCAGGGCTTGATTTATTGTTTTGTTGATTATCTGGACTTATGAAAGTGATGAAGAAAATGTTAATAGTACATATTAAACCTAAAAGTGTGTTAGGTCTACAACCCCTGCCCACCTTCTGCTACCTCTCCCCACCTCCACTAAGAACTAACCCTATACACTTTCCTCTTTGAGTCATAGGCAAGGGATCACCAGGGCAGAATATCGTATACACTGTCAGATACATGGCAGGTCTTTTGCTTACTTGTTTTTCTGTGTAATAAAAGAGGGTTCAATCTGATAGCAGGAGGAAGATCCTGAAATGATAACAATATAAAAGCAAAAGACATCAATAAAACATTAAAAATATTTTTAAAAGACTTGTTTCATTCAGAGCCATGAAAATTACAAGGCACTGAGGAAAAGAGGAATTTGATGAGAGATGTTAAAATTCATCCCAGAGACACCATTCATTGACTGATTGTTTTTTTCTCGTACCTTTTTCTTGTACCACTTGCAGACAGAAAAAAGCAGGCTTTGGAATTTTTATCTTCTGACAGAACCGTGCAATGCCGCCACTCCAACCAAACCAACAAACAAGCCCACCATCTTTAAACAGGCAGCTTATTCTCAAATTGGGCACATTCAGTCCTTTATGTTTACAATAGTTGGGACATAATATTACAATGGGGGTGGAGGGTAGAAAAGAGATTATATAGAATCTCTGAATTGGAAAGGACTCTAGAAGTTGTCTAGTTCAAACTTTAGATGAAGCAGGAATCCTGGCTGCAATATGATAGCTAGATTGTATGATTTTGAAAAGGAATCTTATCTTAGGACCATAAGATCATAGATTTAAAGGTAGAAGGACCTTAAGAGGTCATCTAACCTATGTCACTCCTTTTACAAATGAGGAAATTGAGGCCCAGGTTTGTCAGAGACCGCTCCAAGGTGACACAAGTACAAGTCAGTGTCAACCTCCACGGTCCCTTTGATAGCCTCATCACACACATGCTTTCTGCCTTGTGGAATTTAACATATGTGGCAGCTTTTAGTAGTTCATTTGGAGCTCTCAAAAGGCTTCATATCTATTTTCCAATCACTTTTGCTACAATGAGAAAATGGGGCTATGTCAGTGAAGTGCCAAACAAGCAGAGAAAAATGGGGTGGGGTGGAGAAGAGGACGATGATTTAGAAATTTCTGAATATTGGGTGAACAGAATATGTTGAACTACAAAATGTTCTGAGGGAGGATAAGCTTAAGTGGGTTGACGTCAGGGGAGAGGAAGAGGAAAATGGAAAGACTGAGAACTTTGCCTACTTAGCACTTTGGCCCAGGGTGATGACAATAATAACTAGCATTTGCATAGCCACCTTAAGGTTTTGAAAAGCCTTTACACACATTATCTTATTTTATTCTCACAATATCCCTGAGAGTTAAGTGCTATTATTATCCCCATTTTACAGATGAGGACACTGAGGCAAACAGAGGCAGAGTGACTTGCTTACACGTAACTAATAAGTGTCTGAGGCTGTATTTGAACTCAGGTCTTCCTGATTCCAGGTTCAGTGTATATTCACTGTGCCACCTAACTGCCTAGTGATTGACTAAAAATTATCATTTTTATTTATCCAATGCTGCTGTGGCACACATGTTGTAGTCTAGGTTTCCAGGTCTTAAGTTAACCCTTCAGGGGTTATTTGGGGTGCTGTAAACTCCAGCCTACCCCAGGTTGGCCCAGTCTCCCCAGTTCAGCTCAATGTCTTCTCCAGGGGCAGGAACGGAGGAGAAGAAGAAGACAAGAGATCTGTACAATTGACTGATGGATCTCTATCCACTTAGCCCAATTCAACTCTTCTCTCCATCTTTACAATGGGCACTCATGAATAACCCTACTGCTGAGGGGCTCTGAAAATTTATGCTGTTGGAATCCCTGGGGCCTAGAGACAGTTAACTCATTGAAAATTACAGAGAAATCTGGCTCTACTGTTGAAGATGCTTTTCCTGGTGCTCCTTAAATCCTAGAAATAAAATTGAGTCCAATATAAATCTGTCCTGAAAAAAAAAACACCAAGGTTCTATTGCTTAAATAACATGACCATTATCATGGCCACCAGCACCACCACCACTGTCATTGTCATTAACAACAGCAGCAGCAGCAGTAGCAGTAACAGCAACAACGACAAACAACATCCACAACCCTTCTTCCAGGTATCTATCGGCTTAGTGGGTAGAGCGCTGGACCAGGAGTCAATACTGTCTTGGTCATATACTGGCTGTATGACCCAGGCAAATTACAGCTCTCTGCCTTAATTTCCTCAACTCTAAAATGGGAATAATAGCACCTACCTCACGAGGTTGTTTTGAATATTAAATTAGATAATATATAAACTGATTTGCAAACTGCAAAGTGAGAACAGATTTTAGGTATTTATTTCCCTTTTCTTTCTTTAGGCAAGAGAACTGAACCTGTAATGAGGAAGTCTTGGTTTGAATATAGCCTCTGCCATTACCTTATGTTATCTTAAGCTTAATTCTGAGCCTTAATATTTTCATCTGTAAAAATGGGGCCAGAAATACTTGCTACTGATACTCGCTCATACAGTTGTTGTAGGAAAGTGCTTTGTAAACCTTAACGTACTGTAGAAATGTGTGCTGTTGTTGCTAATGAACAGCGAAATAATATAGAGAGAAAAGAATACTGAGCGTGGATTGCTTTTCTTTGTATCTCCAGTGCTTAACACAATGTTTAGCACACAGTAGGTGCTTAATAAACATTTATCTACTGACTGACTAGAGTCAAGAGGTCTGTGTTCAAATCTCAGCTCTGATACTCACTAGCTGCATGACCATGATCACTTAAGTTATCTCTCTATAAAATGAGGTTAAGAATCCGCATACCACCTTCCTCACATGATTATTGGGGAAGAAAATTCCTTGTAAACCTTAATGCCATAAAAGTAACTTGCTGCTTTTATTAATATTGTAATCAATATCCTCCTCATTGTGAACAGTCCACATGGAAGGGAATGCCAAAGCAGTCACAGGCAATTCATGCTTAATAAGAAGGAAGCTGTAGCAAGTTTATCCTTGTAATGGTTTTTTTTTTCACCCTTATAAGAGAAGGACCTAATAAAACTTCGAATTTTGCTTTCTCTTATTAAAATGTAAGCTTGTTGAGGCGAGGTAATATCTTGCTTGCTTGTATTTATATCCCTTGTGCTTAGCGGTGAATGGCACATAGCAAGCAATGAATGCTCATCCTATTTTCTCTCTCTCTCTCTCTGTCTCTGTCTCTCTGTCTCTCCCTCTGTCTCCCTGATTTTCCTTTCTCTCTCCCTCTCTCTGTCTCTGTCTGCCAGCTTGTCTCTTTCCCTGTCTCTGTCTGTCTCTCTCCTTGTCTTTGTCTCCTTATTTCTCTGTCCCTTTCTCCTCTTCCTCTTCCTCTCCCTCTCCCTTCCCCTCCCCTCCCTTCTCCCCTTCCCCCCTCCCTCTCTTCCTCTCATCTCTGTCTCTCTCCTTTCTCTGTCTCTGCCTTTATCTCTCTATCTCCTTGTCTCTCTCTGTCTCTCCCTCTCTCTCTTTCTCTTCCTTTCTCTAGCTCTCCACCTCTCCCTGTCTCTGACTGCTTGCCTGCCTGTCTCTCTTTGTCTCTCCGTCTTGTGCTTCTCCCTGCCACCCACTTTGCCACATGAGTGAATCCAAATCTGTTTGGTTCTTTCAACACATAAGCCTTAATGTTTAATTAAATGTGAAATATTTTGATGAATTAGATAATGAAAGTGATTTTGGTGTAGAGATGTTGAGTGGAGCTGTGATTCCATCCCATAGGTGGCTCTTATCCATGACAGTCAGGGGACATGAGCTCAGTCATCCCTGATTCTCAGGCAAAGAACTTTTTATCCATTATCTCTTTGTATCTGCCTAATAGCCCTGTGAGGTACGTGCAGCAGGCCTTCTTCTCCTTCCATCACAGATAAAGAAAATGAGATT